CCTAACCCTAGCAAATCTGACCATCGCTTTAACAATTAGGACTTGGGACCTATTAGTACAGTAAGCTAATGCGTTTAATTATCCTCATTTACCCTCACCCCGTACCCTGCCTCACGAGAGACACAACAACGTACCTAGCGACATTAGATTCGAAGTACATTACCAATGGCTAATTTTATTTCCATCATTCCTACCTTCCCAAGCTTCAAAGATTATATTTCAAGGTTCAAACTCTCTACCTTATTATTTATCCATTGGGACTTCAGTGTTTACAGTATCGAGTCGGTTTTGAACCCTGAAAGTGAACCCTAAAATGAACCCTAAAAATGAACCCTTAAAATGAACCCTTAAATGGATGAAATTTATCTGTTACATTTTTACATTTAGAGTAGTATTCAACATACCTCTTGAGTTACCAGGCCCAGGGGGAGGGGCAGAAGCAGGGAGATCAGTAGGAAGATAAGCAGACAACAGAAGCAGGAGAGGCTAGTTGGGAGGGAAAGAGATGGATAGTTAAATAGCTAAATAAATAGACGAACGAGAGGTAAATAGAGGAATAGAACAAATAGTTGAATAAATCGACTGATAAATAGACAGACAGACAGACAGACAGACAGTATATCCAATTTATCGTCAAAATACTACAGTAGTACAATATCTCCCACAATATCCCCTTAATACAGTATAAACGAGTCACTCCACACACACGGCTCAACCCCTCCCTCCCTCCCCGACAGTCAGATTGCCACCATAATATTATTCTACAACCGACCAAATTATTTGTTTACCAGATTTGGCGCCGCTGTGTGAATAATTCTATAAATGATTGTGTCCGGTTAGTTGTAAATAGTTGAGCCTCACCGCGTTGTGTAATATAATAATAATGAGATGTAGTGTGGCCTTAAATACGATATATAATTCAATGGTAAGAGCAGTTGGGATAGTGTGTTTTTTTGTTGTTGATTTTGGTGTCTGTACGTTGCGTCATTTTGAGAGCGAGTGATTGACTTGTGCTTGTTCATTCCAGGTTGGTGTTAGACTAGCTTAATAATTCCAGGTGTTGGTGTTAGACTAGTTTACTAATTCTGGGTTGGTATTTGACGAAGGAATAAATTCTAAATATATTATTGTCACATCTAACTGAACCCTCGATATAACAGACTCCATTCCTTTAATCCGCAAAATAGAGGTTTCACAGTCCGGTAACTTGATTCACAGTAGACACATTATCACAAACTGGATAATGTTTTACTTATTACTAGAAGTTGTAGTCATTGTTCTCAGCAGGTGTTAGTGTTTACTGATGAGTGACTTGACCGCGGGGCTAATGCCTTTAGTTAGTCAGGAGATTAATGGTGGAGATAGGAGTGTTCATTAGAGCAGGAACATCCTCCCCCCCCACTCTTCACCTCCGGCTCCACCCCCCTCTCTCTACCTCCTCTACCCCCCTCTCCCCACCCCCCTTCTTCCTCTATCCCCTCTCTAACTTCTCTACCTCCATCTCTACCCCCTCCCCTTCTACCCCCTTTCCTCTATCCTCTCCGCTTCTAACCTCCTTCCCCTCTATCTCTTTCTCCCCCCCACCTCCCCATCCCCCACACATCACGTTTAGGGTCACAGGGCATATATGTGTGTGTGTGTGTGTGTGTGTGTGTGTGTGTGTGTGTGTGTGTGTGTAGAAAGAGAACAAAGACTACCAAAACGTGTTTACTAATAATAATGAAATACTTGAGGGGGAAGAGGTGGCGAGTGTTGACTAAGAGAAAGTTCATGTAATTTGACCATAAAGGATGAGCGGCGGAGCTGTAGGCCGGAGTTACTGTTATATAAAGTAAATACAATAGAGGATATATATGAGGAATGCGATAGACAGACAGACAGATGGACGTAGACAGAGAGAAAGACAGAGATACCGTAAGAGACTGTAAAAACTTATGGTCTTCGAGAATATAAATCCAGGTTGACTGTCTGGGAGAGTGACTGTACCCTCCATCATTCCAGTCAGTCAGTCATGCAGTTTACCTTGAGCAGTGACTGGAGTTCTTTTCCTTAATAAAAAAATAAAAATAAAAATCCTGTACACTTACGTAAATACAGTTTTAATTTATAACATAAACCTTTCAATAACTTAAGCAATAATTTTGGTCATAAATATTTTACAATGAATGTTAACTGCCGATTAGTGTAGGGTAGTTTTCTTAATTCAATAAAAAAGATTTATTAGTCAGTGAAAAACTATATAAGACGCCAAAATTAATTACTAATTGAATTTTAACCGTCATAAACCTCAACACTCGGTGATTACTATCAAGAACGCCGGAGAAATTACAAAATCAACAAGTTTGATAAATGGGTTTTAACTTTTTTTTTCTGATTCAAACTCGACAGATTATACGTTCAAAAATGATGAAAAACCTTTACATTTCTAAGAACTTGGGAACTAACGTAAAGAGCCTTGAATTCACCCTGATGATTTCTCTGGTCTACCCCCCCGGAAGAATACATAACATACTATAGGTTAAAGAAAAATACAGATATACTTTCTTCGTTTCAGCATCTTGCATCATCCACTGTGTAAATAAAAACTCTCTTACTGTACCTGTAATTAAAAATATGATTCTTCGTATGATTTCTTAGTACCTTGGGTCTGGATAATGGTCAATTTAGGTCTGGATAATGATCAGTTTAGGTCTGGATAGTATTCGATTTACTTTAGTCATCCCGATTACCACAGTTTTACCTTCGTTTTCTATAACACCTCAAATCTTGATGGCGGAGGAAAACGAATCACTCCTATTTAAACTTTTTATTATATTTCCGCCACTTAAACTAACATTACCACTACATAATCACCTAACATTAACTCTATATTAACTTGATTTTAACCTAACAATTTTCGCCTTGTCATCTATATGCAGGGAGCTACTGGGTATAATTTTTTTCATAGCTCGTTTTGTGACTTATTAAAAACGTATATAATATTGTAGTATTAACTTGTGAATATGTTAAGTTGACGATGATGAAACGTTGGTCTTATATGCTTGATGCAGCTCTGTAATTATATTCATATATATATATTTGATATATTAATGTGTGTATACTGCAGTTACTTATTCCCAGGATGTGTATGTGTACCAAATTCTGTTAATACGATTGTGTGTGCGTGTGTGTGTTACTAACGAGACACTGTCAAGCGTCGAGTCTCGGGCAGCATTAATACGTCAAATGTAAACAAAAGCGGTGAGGGGGGGTAGGTATAAACTCCACCTTGCTATATAAAACAATAAACCCGTCTTATTAAACACACCCAACCAACCAAGACTAATAACGTGTTAGATAAGCCATCGATCGACCAAGGAAACGATGAATTAATGACTAGTATATAAACGAAGTAATTTGGGTAAATAAATTTAATAAATATTATTCAAATAAGAGGGTTAAAACAGGTTCTGTGGCGTGTCCCATGTTTTGCTTCTCCGCTGTTGACGACATAGTTGCTACTTGTGTTAGCTTCTTGTGTTACTGCTGCTCCTTGTACTGCTGCTCCTTGTACGGCTGCTGCTTGTATTACTGCTGCTGCTCGTACTGCTCCTCCTTGTACTGCTCCTCCGTGTACTGCTCCTCCTTGTAATATATAATACACTAGTAACGCCCTGGACAAGCTCACTATCTGGTCACCATCGTCAGTAACGTAAATCATAAACATAAGTCGGGTAATACATGCCTTTGTGTACAGGGACTGACTGGTTGAGTTTGACTGTCACCCTCTTAACAGTCTATCACCCCATGTCCTTCATACACAGAGACTGACTGGACGAATTGACTGTCACCCCCTAACACCACTCAATTCTGGGATTTTGTCCATTGGGAAACTATCTACGGGTAAATTTTGGTCACTGGGAAATTTTGGTCATTGGGAAATTTTGGTCATTGGGAAATTGTTCACTGGGAAATTGGTCACTGGGAAATTTTGGTCACTGAGAAATCATGTGAGTGGTTGCCAGTCTTACTACTTAAAAGGAGAGAACTGTTCTTAATTTTTGCACTTCTCAGCTCATAAAACGACAGCTGTGATGCGTTAAAAGTTAAGTAATAGTATTTTTGTCTACCCCTCGCCCCCACCCCACCTCCCATCCCCCCTACCCCTCCCTCTCACCCCTCCCTCACTCCCCACACACACACACACACACACCTATCACCCCCCCTCCCACACACCCCCCCTCCCCAATAAGAGACTATACATCACAATAGAGTAAATAGATAAGGAATACCACACACACACACACACACACACACACACACACACACACACACACACACACACACACACACACACACACACACACACACACACACACTATTAATTACACATAAATAAGGAACTGAAAAGAAAAACATCAGATTACTCTACCATGATGCACGACCGCGGTAACTCTTTTGAATTACGGCATTACGGAGGATGTGTAATGCGATATTTCTTCACACGTTCAGAAAAAAAGGAAAATTGACTCCCACAAGCAACCTGTCGAGATGATGTATAATAATGGGGTTGAGGTATTAGCCATAACTAGTCCTGTAACCACATAATGTATCATAGTCATTATTTGGGGTTTGTAATGGTTGTTATACCTGTTCTTACTTAACCTCTCTCAACCTTTGGTGGAGGAGGTCGACTCATCTTCCACACAGTCATTTGTTTTCTCATTTTTCATAATTTTATTTTTATGTTTTTTACGAATTAAGAACCGAGAAAAAAATTATCTTTGGTATAATAAGTTGAATGTTATTACGTTTGTGTTTCAGTTAGTTTGTGTTAGATACTTTTTTTCGTGTTTTATTTACGGATTTTTTTATTTTATTATTTTCTGATTTGTGAATGCGTGTTGATGGACAGCCGCCACTACATCCCGAGGCTGTAAGTGTGGTGGTAGCGGGGATGGGTGAGACTGGTACGAGTACATTCTGAAGGTTACTCAATATCTTTTTTTTTCTTTCAGAATTAAGAGGATGCAGGAAGACAGTGTTGAACGCTGGGGGTGATTGGTAGCTTCGCCTAATTTAACAAGACCATTGAAAATTAAATCAATTACATCGAAACTGGTTTGTTCGGTGGCCATTACGACAAGTTTGTGTGGGTACCAGGAGGCGAGAGAGATAAAGAAGATAGATAGAATAAAGGCCATTTAGACATACACAATAATCCAGAAGAATAGACAGATGCACGTAGACAGACAGACAGACAGACAGACAAATAGATAGATAGATAAACTCATGAGTCAGTCTCTAAACTCAAGTCAGATTTATAGTAAAAATTTCGACCCTCATTCACACACATTGATAACCTTGTCTCAACATCAGTGTAATTGAATGATACATTTCTTAATTGGTTAGTTTATACGAGTAAGAGTTAACCAATGACTGTAGACTCTTAGCCATGCTATTTGTACTGATCTACTGTGGGTATTTACCAGTCATATTAAACATTTATACCAACGCCCCGACCTGTACCGTGGCCACCGTGTGTGACGCTCAAGACACTCTTCTCCCCGTGCTACAGATGACGATGACCAGCACTAGAATGGAGATGTGTTAAGGTTGTTAAGCTGTGTTACTTGGTGGTGAGCTGGATTCACCCAATACTGCCAGGCACTCAAGAGGAGGTCCAGTGTGTGTAAGTCACTCACTGTGAAGGCTCGAGTGTTGAGTGGATAGATCCTGCTCATAGCACCTTATGTGTCAGCAGTGATAAGTAGGGTTAATTACTGTTTGAGGTATGGTCTTAAGATTCATGCACAGCTGTCATCTACCCAGTTGTGTGTGGGATGGCTTTTAATGTGTGCAAAAATTCCTTGAACAGGTTAAGTGACCTCTAAATCTTATGGGGTCATCTTACAGGTTCAAAGCTAGCATAACCAGGTAATTTGTCGAGCTTCTAAGATACTAGGTAATTTGTCGAGGCTCCAAAACGAGATTGCAATTAAACTATATATATATATATATATGTAAACAGTTTATATACATTTCAACAGTGTCAAGGTACCCGATGTGGATGATGGAGGCCTCTGGTTCGACTCCCGGATTGACTGAAGACGTGTTGAACTGGATGAGGTAGGGGCAGGATTTTAAAGGGTTCGTAAGTGAAATTTATCTGTTTTATCTTAAATATTTCCCCGTCATTGTTACAGGTGTGGGAGATTACCTGGATGAGGTAGATAGGAATACTACAAGAAATTGTTACATGAGCTAGACTTATTTTAGAGTGTTGTAGTTTATTATTGATATTGGTTGGTAGAATTAATGGATGGAGGGCCAGGGGAAGACAGAGACTGAGATGGATGAATGGAATTAACAGTTGTGGTCCCTGGATACATAACATCTGGCAGGATTGGTAAACACAGCCCCCCCCCCCCCCTCGCCAAAATAAAGTTTAGTGGAGGGCTGTGGTCACCAATCCTCAGACATGATGGTTCTTTGATTATATGCCAGTGTTTGTTTGTCTGTCTGGTTGTCTGAATGTTTCTCTTTGTCAGAAATACAAAATGACGAGATCAATCTGTTTGTTGATGAATAATTGCTGTAAAACATAAAATTTCACATTTAGTTAAAATATTACATTAAAGCATCAGTGTTTTTGTCACCTGTGTATGTCGAGTACAAATTGACTACAAGTTTAAGGTCAGCTGTGTAAGGTATTTGTATATCTAACGTGACCCCTGTGGTGACATCACTGACCTAGCTTGGAACCTTGAGTGAATGTTGGATCACTGGAATGAAGTATAGAACAGGAAATGAGTTCATCAAGAGGTCAAGGTCATTGTTAAAGGTCAATAGTTGTGGCATGTTAAAAATGTAATGCGTGTAATATAGAGCGATGAAACTGGTAGTGAAGTATTGGATAGATGGTCAGGTGGAATAGACAAATTGAAAGAATGGGAAGTGGAAGACAGGTAAATGTGTGGTAGGAGGGAGGAGATGGAAGGGTGGGGTGGAGGCTGCACCAGAAGTGAGAGTGAAGGAACATCCATCAACCAGTGGTGTGTATGTGAAGGGGTAGATAACATGGCAGTGATTTTCGGGAAAAGACGTGTTGCTGGTGAGTGATGTTGACTTGTGAGGCGACAGAAGGAAACCATGACCTGTTGTGGGTGATGAAGTATTATGCCAGAACACATTTAGTCCACCCGGTAGTGTGAATATTGAATGAGTGTGTGAAGAAAGAGTGCTTTGAATTCTTCCCACTATGCAACATATACATAAAACAATACTAATTTTGGCGTATAAAATATTAATTTTGCAGGTAGAAACGGACAATACCTCCCCAGGGAGACTGAGAGCCATAACTTGGTGTCCAGATGACGAAGCATCGACAAGATGGACAAGAGAAACGATCAAGAGTACAAAAATATGAATATGCCCTGAATAAGTCAGTCTGCCCGACATGACAGGAAGTTGTATGGTGTAGAAATAAGTGTTGGTTAGATACGTTCATAGAAACACTAAAACTGATTATAACAGTGTATTGAAAGTTTATTTACTAACGACAGGCACTGTAGGAGTGAGGGAAGGACAAGCAATAATGTGTAGGACTAAGGAGACTTGTGGTGATGCGCAGGAGGGATGGAAAGACAAGCAGTGATTTGTAGGAGTGAGGGAAGACTTACTGTGACATGTAGGAGCGAGGGACGGACATAATGTGCTGTGTAGGAGTGAGGAAAGGACTCACTGTGATGTGTAGAAGTGACAGGAGGACTTAGTGTGTTTGTAGGCGTGAAGGAAGGATGCACTAAGATGTGTAGGTGTAGGAGTGACGGAAGGACTTGTTGACCTACTGAAATGTGAGGTGATGTGAAGGAGTGCAGGGAGGTCTTATTGTGATGTGAAGGAATGAGAAGGAGTTACTGACCTATTAAGGACTTGTTGACCGACTGAAGAGTGAGGAATCGACTTAGAGTAATGTGTAGAATTGACGGAAGGAATTATTAAGCAACTGGGCTGTAGGAATGAAGGAAGGACTTACTGTGATGTGTAGGAGTGAAGGAAGGACTCACTGTGATGTGTAGGAGGGAGGGAGGAACTCACTGTGATGTGTAGGAATGAAGGAAGGACTCACTGTGATGTGTAGGGATGAAGGAAGGACTCACTGTGATGTGTAGGAGGGAGGAGAGATCTTTTACAGGAGTGGCCATGTAGACTTCTGGGACTACACTGTTATAATCATTTGTGTGGACGTGATGACTAGGCTGTGAAGAATGACTTTGCTTATCTTACATTAGTCATAATTGTGACTAATATTTAAATTCAATTTTTGTTTGTCAACCATTGTAAAGTGAAGGATTTCATGCCCACCTATGAGGTAGAATACTGGTAATGACGTCGTTGCTCTTGTGGTCTATTCTACCAATGACGTAGACTACTCGTGGTGATGTCATTGCTGTGGTCCACCAATGGGATGCTTCAGGTAACTTGAGCCCAATTAGAATAGAGAGAATGGTTAAAAGCAAGTTGTAAAGATGTATTAATTATAGAAAATTGCAGTAAATTCTTCAAATAGAATCTTGTATTCCATTACAAGAAGAGTAAAATGTTTTGTTATGCGAATGAAGACTTTTTTACCCTATTTTTTACTCCTTGTTTTACCCCCTTTTACCCCCTTTACCCACTTTTACCCCCATTTACTCTCCTTCTTACCCCCTCTTTTCCCCCTTTTTCTATTATGAAATCTTCCCATTTTCTATGATCTTAAATTTTTTTGTAATGGTCAGAAAAATGTCATAAAATTCAATGTGGACAAATGTAAAGTACTCAGTTTAGGAGATGTAAACAGAGAAACCAGATACCAGATGAACAACGTTGTTATAGAGAAATCCGACTGCGAGAAAGATTTAGGAGTAATGCTAAGTAGGAATCTTACGCCAATTAAACAATGTGTATTTGCTCGAAACAAGGCTAATAAAGTACTGTACTTGGATTCATACAAAGGAGTGTTAGTTACAAGACTAGCGAGGTCATCCTAAAACTATATCTTAAGCTTGTGAGACCTCACTTAGATTACGCAGTTCAATTCTGGTCGCTGTACTACACAATGGATATAGAATCCTTAGAAAGAATTTAGAGGAGAATGACAAGACTACTCCTGGGCATTAGGAACCTTGACTACAGAGACAGATTAAAGCAGGGTCTCTACAATGGCAGTGCCCCCTGGGGCCCTCCTATTTGCCTTACCAGATGCGATGCTCCCAAGGGTTCACCCAGGGGTATCGGCGCTACCAGGGGCCCTGAAAGGTCCCTGCCATGAGCGGCTGTCCCCCCAGTAGCCCTTTCAGGGGTAGTGGCGCCTCTAGGGGCCCTCCCAATGGCGGTAGCGCACCAGGGGCCCTCCCAGGAGGCATCGGCGTTCCCTGGGGACCTCCCAGGGGCAATGGCGCGCCCAGGAGCGGCAGAAGCCCAGGGGACCTGCCGGGGGCTGTGGTGCCCCCAATGGCCCCTACAGAGGCGGCAGCGCCACGAACGGCCCCTCCAGGCTTAGCAACAGCCCCAGGGGACCTCCCAGAGGTGGTGGCGTACCCAGGGGCGAAGGCACCCACAGGGGCCCTCCAAGCGGCAGTGGCACACCCAGGGGCCCATTAAGTGGCAACGAGGCCCCCAGAGGCTCTCCATACGGGCAGCAGCTCACCCAGGGGCTCTCTTTAGAGGCAGTGGTGCTCCCAGGGGCTCTACTAGAGGCGCCCTCCTCCTAGGAACCCTATAGCTTTTGGTTGTGGTGTTGTACATATTTCATACGTCCAACAATTCTTACTCAACTGTGATTGGTGGACTAAAATATAAATACACCAAATACAGCCAATAGAGACCAGATCAGTCAGTCAGCACCATTAACTTATGTTTCCTGTTGGATATTTATTCTCCTTTACATTGTTCATGATGCGATGAGACTGGAAATGCGATGGGCAGTGTATTTATTCATATCTCCCATAGTTCTAAATGTGACAACTGCCCCCAGGCTCACTACAATGGCAGTGCCGCTGGGACCCCATTTGCTTTACCATGTGCAACGCATCCAGGGGTGACGGCGCTGCTACGGGCCCATAAAGGTCCTTGCCAAGGGCGGCGGTCCCCCCAGAGGCCCTTCCAGGGTGGTAGCGCCTGTGAGGCCCTCCCAACGGGGATGGTGCAATAGGGTCCCTCCCAGGGGACAGCAGCGCTCCCAAGGGACCTCAGAGGCAGCAGACGTCCCAGGTGGCCCTGCCAGGTGAGTGGAGTACCCAGGGCCCTGACCTCTGGCTGTCCCCAACTCTTACAGAGTCGGTGGCGCCACCAGCGGCCTTCCCAGTCTGCGCCCCCTCAGGGGAGCTCCCATTTGTGGTGGTATACCGAGGGGCTCTCCCAGGGGTGACGGCGCCCATGAGGCCCTCCCAGCGGCAGTAGCGACCTCAGGGGACCTCTAAGGGGTGGTGGTGCCCCCAGGGTCCTATCAAGGGGCAACGACTCCCCCAGGGACTCTTGAGACGGGCAGCAGCGCCTCCAGGGGCTTTTCTTAGGGTCAGTGATGCCCCCAGGGGCTCTATTGTGGGCGCCCCCTCCTGGGAACCCTATAGCTTTTGGTTGTGGTGTTGTACATATTGCATACGTCCAGCAATCCTTACTCAACTGTGATTGGTGGACTAAAATATAAATACACCATACAACCAATAGGAGACCAGAACAGTCAGTCAGCACAACACCCCAACTTATGTTTTTCCTGTTGGATATTTATTCGCTTACATTGTTCATGAAGCGATGATACAAATGCGATGGGCAGTGTTGTTCATATCTCCCATAGTTCTAAATGTGGAAAAGGCACCTTTAGGCTCACTACAATGGCAGTGCCCCTGGGACCCTCCCATTTGATTTACCATGCAACGCCCTCAGGGGATCACCCAGGGTGTCGGCGCTAGTAGAGAGCCTAAGACCCTTCCTAAGGTCGTCGGTTTCCCCAGTAGCCCTTCCAGGGGTGGTGGCGCGTCTAGGAGCCCTCCGAGTGGCGTTCGTGTGAGGGGCCTCCCAGGGACAGTGGGTTGTTATGGGCCTCCTAACGGCAGTGGGTGCTTCCAGGGGCAGTAGGGTCTCTTCCAGGGCAGCGGCAGCATGTTAAGAACTCATGTGGTTTGTCGTACATTTGCATTCGTCAGTAATCCTTACTTAACTGTACTGGTGGAGCAAATGTAACGTCATCAAATTACAACCAATAGGAAAACAGAACAATCAGTCAGCACAACACCCCAACTTATGTTTTGCTGTTGGATATTTATTCTCCTTTCATTGTTCAGGTTTCTATACCGTATCTTTCTGGGCAGTGTCGATTTATTTCATCATATCTCCACAGTTTAAATAGTTGAAACGAATAAATATCCAACAGCAAAGCATGTTTGGGGTGTTATTGCTGACTGATTGCTCTGTTCTTCTATTGGCTGTAATTTGATGGCGTTACATCTTCTCCTATCACGGTTAATGAGGATGCCCGAGCAAATATGACGACTATAAAGTCCTGGGCTATGCTGCATGAAGGGCCCCGAGGGTGCCGTCGCCCCTGGAAGACTTACTGCTGGAAAGGCACCCTGCCACTAAGAGATATAACAGTGCCACCGACTAGGAGGAGGCCCAAGGGGCGCCCGCAACCTGGCACGGGTCCTTGGTGCAGGGCTCTCATGGGGACCCTGCGAGCACCGGGAACACCCCTGAAGATGCCCCCGTCCTGTAAGAGGCTGGATCGCCATATCCCTGTGAGGGTCACTGGCCGCCACCCAGGCAGGCCCCGGGACCTCTTTATGGTCATGGTGGGGGACCCTATGGCGTGGTCCCCAGGGGTGCTCTTAGGGACAACTGCAATCCTAGGGGCCTTCTAAGGGAAGATGGCGTCGACAGGAGCTCCTTCAAGAACAGCCGAGCTTCCATGGGCCTCTCAGGGACGGCAACACGGGACCCTCAAAGGGACGGCAACGCTCCTAGGGACCATCACAGGGACGGCGGCGCCCCCATGAGCCCTGCTAAGGGGCCTGGCGACCCTAAGGGGCCTCACAGGGACAGCCATGATCTCTGGGGTCTTTCCAGGGACGGGGGCGCCTCTAGGTACGTTCCTAGAGACCGTGGTGCTCCGAGAGGCCCTGCCAGTGGCGGTGGCGCCTTCAGGGGCCCTTCCAGAGGCGGTGGCTCCCCCGAGGATTCTTTATGGGGCGCCACTGCTCCCAGGGATCCTGCCAAGGCCTGTGGCTCACAATAGGTCCTCCTAGGGGAGGCGGTGCCCCAAAACAATGGATAGTGGTGTCGTATATATTGCATTCTTCCAGTAATCTCTTACTTAACTGTAATTGGTGGAATAAGATGTAACGTCATTAAATTACAGCCAATAGGAAAACAGAGGAATCAGTCAGCACAACACCCCAACTTATGTTTTGCTGTTGGATATTTATTCTCCTTTTCACTGTTCAGGTTGCGAAATTACTGAAAATGCTATGGGCAGTATCTATTTATTTAACTTCATATCTCCCAGAGTTTAAAAAGTGAAACGAAAAAAAATATCCAACAGCAAAGCATAAGTTGGGGTGTTGTGCTATTTGATACATCACAATTAAATAAAGATAGACGAGCACCTCTAAAAAATATTAACAAAACTATGAAGTTCTTGGGGCGATGCTGCATGTGGAAGGGCCCCTGGGGGCGCCGTCGCCCCTGGAAGAGACCCTACTGCCCCTGGAAAGGCACCCACTGCCACTAGGAGGGCCCATAACAGCGCCACCGGCCCTAGGAGGGCCCATAGGGGCGCCGCATCCCCTGGCAGGGTCCTTGGGTGCAAAGGTTCCTCATAGAGGGACCCTGGCGGAGACACCGCCTCTGGAAGGGCCTCTGAATGTGCCACCACTGTGGTATGGCCCCTGGGGCCGAAGCGGTCCCTGGGAACACCCCTGAAGGCGCCACTGTCCCTGTAAGGGACCCTGGGATCACCTCTATCCCTGTGAGGGTCACTTGGCCATGCCAGGCATGGAGGCGCCCCCAGGACCCTCTTAGGGTCAGCGGCGCCCCCACGGGACATGTCACGGGCGCTGGATCCACTAGGGCACCCTTAGTGACAACTGCAATCCTAGGGGCCTTCTAAGGGAAGGCGGCGTCGACAGGAGCTCCTTCAGGAACAGCCGAACTTCCATGGGCCTCTCAGGGACGGCAACACGGGACCCTCACAAGGACGGCAACGCTCCTAGGGACCATCACAGGGACGGCGGCGCCCCCACGAGCCCTGCTAGGGGCACTGGCGACCCTAGGGGGCCTCACAGGGACAGCCGTGATCTCTGGGGTCTTTCCAGGGACGGGGGCGCCTTTAGGTACGTTCCTAGAGACCGTGGTGCTCCGAGAGGCCCTGCCAGCGGCGGTGGCGCCTTCTGGGGCCCTTCCAGAGGCGGTGGCTTCCCCCAGGCCTCTTTATGGGGCGCCACTGCTCCCAGGGATCATGCCAAGGCCTGTGGCTTACAATACGTCCTCCTAGGGGAGGCGCTGCCCCAAAACAATGGATAGTGGTGTCGTATATATTGCATTCTTCCAGTAATCTCTTACTTAACTGTAATTGGTGGAATAAGACGTAACGTCATCAAATTACAGCCAATAGGAAAACAGAGGAATCAGTCAGCACAACACCCCAACTTATGTTTTGCTGTTGGATATTTATTCTCCTTTTCATTGTTCAGGTTGCGAAAATACTGAAAATGCTATGGGCAGTATCTATTTATTTAACTTCATATCTCCCAGAGTTTAAATAGTGAAACGAAAATAAATATCCAACAGCAAAGCATAAGTTGGGGTGTTGTGCTGACTGATTGTGCTCTGTTCTCCTATTGGCTAGCAATTTATGACGTCATCTTTCTCCACCAATCACATTTAAATGAGGGATGGACGACTGCAAAATGTAAGACAAAACTATAGAGTTCTTGGGGTAAAGCGCTGCGTAATGGAAGGGCCCACAGGGGCCGCCGTCGCCTTCCTGGCAGAATCCTGCCACCCCTGGAAGGCGCCCCACTGCCACTAGGAGGGCGCCACTGCTCCCAGGGACCCTGCCAACGCCTGTATGATTCTGTGGGTCCTCCTAGGGAAGCGTAGCCCCAAAAAATGGATACTGGTGTGGTAAATGTGCATTCTGTGTGTCTCTTACTGCTGGAGTGGTGGAGACGCGTCATCAAATTACAGCAACCAGTCAACAACATAACTTATCTTTGCTGTTGAATATTTATTCTCCTTTTATTCGATTCTTGATAATACTGAAAATGCTATGGGCAGTGTGTATTTTATTTAACATCATATCTCCCAGGCTTAAAATAGTGGCTTGAGAATAAATATCCAACAATGAAAACTAAGTTGGGGGTGTTGTGCTGACTGATTGCTCTGTTCTCCTATTGGCTGTAATTTTTATAGCGTCATCTTACTCCCACCAATTACGTTTTAGTAAAGGATTACTGGGCCGAATGCAAAATGTCTACGACAAAAATATGAAGTTCTGGGGTAAAAAGCTGCGTGTGGAAGGGCCCTGGGGTGCCGTCGCCCCTGGCGAGATCACCGCCCCTGGAAAGACTTGCTACTTGCAGGAGGGGCGCCACTTTGCCCAGGGC